GGTGTCGCCCACACCGCGCTCAGCCAGTGAGCGCACCGGCCATTCCTATATAGGATCCAAAACCACAGTGGGAGTGTCGCTCCGCTCCCAGTGCCGCACTCTCCCGAGTGCGCCACAGGATCGGCCCCATTTGTAACATTTTGATGTTTCACTTCCCAGTCTATTGTCCCATGCCTCTTTTATTTTAATTTATATTTATGTACTTAGCCTTTTTAAAAAAATTCAGTATTATTGCATTTTCTCATTTTCTTAAAGTTGATTCACAAAAATAGAGGTTATAGGATAGTCCTCTTAAGAATGACCTTAAAAATCAACATTCCCCTATTATCAGATATTCTGAATGTTTCTATTTTTTGTTATTATAATGCAAAGTTTCTGGTAGTTTAACATAAAAATCTATTAACATTGAAATCCCCTTCCAACAATGAATTGGAATAACTAAATTTCAAAGACATTTGATACAGTGAAAACCTGTGATCCCAGGCATATCACTCTGATTACTCTTCTTTTCCATAACAGAGTAACACCCACCTTGATACATAATGGTAAAGATAAGTTATACAATGTAAATATTTGGCCCAAAGCCAGGCATACAGTCAATAAATGTTATTTTCTTCTCTCCTGCTTCTGGAAATTGTTTGTCTGAGGTTTAGTTACTTACAAAAAGTGCTTCTAGATATCATTTTATTTAATCCTTTTATAGCTCTATTAAATAGGCAGGGTACATATTAAGGTTCCCACTTAAAGGCTGAGGAAGATTAAGGGAGCTGCTCAAAACTACTAAATGGCAAAATTAAGATTAATACACAGATTCTGAATTTTAGAGAATGCTTTTCATCATATCATGCCATTTCTCTGAAAAGAGTAACATCTTGCTATCAAACAAAAACTCAAGAAGAAAGTATCTTCAAAGCACACACTTTTTGTCAAGGTGTATATTGGAGGAGAGGAAAGTATAAACTCTGTTCTACCACTCAATAGCTGTGTTAATAAGGACACTTACATTGTTACAAATCATGTCATCAAAGTAATTTTTCCAATGAGGCAAAAAAGCAGGTAAGAACTAGAAATTTCAATGTGCACTGGTAGAGTTTGGATGTGTTCTTCCCCCAAAACTCATGTGGAAACCTGATCCCAAATGTAGCAGTGTTGGGAGCTGAGTCATGGAGGCGGATCTGTCAAGAATGGATTAATGCTCTCTCTGGGAGGTGGGGTACTGACTGAGTGAATTCCCACACAGGAACTGGTTGTTTAAAAAGACCCTAGCACCTCCCCTTTCCCTTGCTTCCTCTTGCCATGTGATCTGCTTGTACCCACCAGCTGTCTGCCATTTTCCAGCATGAGCAGAAGCAGCCTGAGGCCTCTGCCAGATGCAGCTGTCCCAGAACCGCAAACCAAATAAACCTCTGCTCTTTATAAATTACCCAGTCTCAGGTATTCTTTTAAAAGCAACATAAAAACAGACTAATACATGTAATAACAGTAATATCTCCTACAGAAATTTCAGTAACAAATTTGTAAAGAATGACTGGAAGTGAACAGCCAAACAACTTATGGAAAAAGAAACAACACTGAGAAGATGCAAAATATGCTCAAATGGAGCATCAGCTCAAGATAAATGGCTTTTATTTATCTCTCACCATTAGCATTATAGTTGATATGGCTAAAATGTACATTCCTATTACCATTATCACCCACTGTTATAATAAGGAGAATACAGAGCTACTTAAATACAGCAGCTATGTGAGATGTGCATCACCTCTTTCTTATGCAAAAGACTGGTTCTCAATCTCAGTCATAAATGTTAAGTGCAAATCATGTTCCCTAATTAACAAATTAAAAGATATCAAATTCTGAGTTGTAAAAAACTCACACTGTAGAATAATTCCATATAAGACATTCACTGTAATACAAAAATTATTAATAGTAAAGTGTCTTTCAATTTATAAGAAATATTGGAGGTAGAGGAATGAATGATACACAGCAACAAGACAATCACCAGAATGATAAGATAACCTAACATTCTATCATATAATCATGAACTCTTCAAACGGTATAAATCATGAAGAAAAGTGTGGGTTAAAAAGAATCAAAAAGAAAGATATAACAAATGAAATGTGGAAACCTAAATCAGATCGTAGTTGGAGGTGGTGGTAGGAATATACATTCTGAGGACAACTCAGGAAACTGGAATAAGGCTTAGATGTTGGGTGATACTATGAAATTGTTTTTATTTCTCTTAGGAGTGATAATGGGTCCTGTGGTTATATAGGAAATTGTTCTTATTACTGGGAGATGCTTGTTGAAATAGGGCTGAACGTCATTATGCTTACTCTTTATTTCCAAATGGAACAGAAAAAAATTGTATGGGTAAAGTAAGAATGTCAAAATACTAACAACCGTTGAATCTAGATGGAGGATATATGGGTATTCATGCATGGGATATATGGGTATTATTACTCTTCCACCTTTTCTGAATGATAATTTTCATTAACAAAGATGTAGGAGGATAGAAAAAGTGATTATGTGTTAAGATACCACAAAAAACTACTACAAAAATGAAAGAAATCTTGACTTTGGTTCTGAAAGGGAAGAAAAAGAGTAGGCAGTTCTTTACAATGACATAATAGGCCCATTCAAGGCAGAGCAGGTGACGGAGATTAGTAGAAAATGAAGCTAGAGACTGAATGGAAATCAAATTATCACGGATTTTAAAAGACAAGGATATTATCATTACCTTAATTTGCTCCTCACTAATACTAGGAGTGTTTTTTAGGAGATTCAGAAAAACTCCACCTGGTGTTCTTCTTCGACTACCGTTCTGCAAAAAGGAACAGAAAAATTAAACTGCAAGGACTCTTCCCATGAACAGCCAAGGTATCTTTTAACAGAGACACACCTAAAAAGATACAAGGAATACCAGACTCAAAGCCCAGTCCTGATTCTGACTCTTATGAAATGGGTAACATGAGGAAATCACTAAATTATGAGTTTCAGTTTCTTCATCTATAAAATTAAGGTCAAAGGTGATCATTAGTCTTTTCCAACTCCAAAATTCTATGATTTATAAAATCTACACAGAAACAAAGAGAAACAGGCCACTCAACTCAAATGACATAATAAATGACTGAACTGCCTGCTTTTATTTGTCATCTGGCCAAATCAGTGATACTTTATTAGATATTAAAACATCCTAGGGGGCTGGTTAGTTACCTCACTCACTTAGAGCATGGTACTGTAACACCACAGACAAGGGTTCAGATCCCCTTATATGCTAGCCACCAAAAATAAACAAATAAATAAATAAACAAACAAGCGTACACCATAAAGTCTCAATAATTAAAAGGGTGGTACTGAAATAAAACTAGAATGATCAATGGAGCATAAAAGAAAATCCAGAAATAAAGCCAAATACACATGTGAGTGAATTTAGTCTATGATATACATAGGATCTCAAACCAAAAATAAAAAGGACTGTTCAATAACTGGTGCTGGACCCAGTACTGGCCAGCACCAAAAAGAAATTTTAAAAAACTGGCATATGAGCTACTGGGTGGTCATCTAGGGAAATATTAAGTTGGATTCATACCTCATGCTTGTGCTATGATACATTCCAAACAAGTCAAAGATTTAAATATATATAATAAATCATAGGATATATATACATATAGTTGCTTCTCACTAATCGTGGTAGTTAGGTTCTATGAAGTTGCTGCAAACACTGAATTAGCAAATACTGAAACAGTGCTCCAGGAGAAATACAGGGTTTGGTTCCTGAAACACTCTGGTCACAACATTCTTGTCAACAGATAAATATATAAACTTGTATGTATGTCTGTTTAAAGACACCTTATTTAACGTATACTGTTGATTCATTAACACTGAACTAATGGCCAACAGCTCTGTAACTTGTGCCTAAATTAAGCTTACTAACATACACATTTCTCCATAAGGCATGTTACAGTCTTCTTGCACTTAGAAACACTTGTTAGCACTGCAGCATTACCCTTGTGGGGCCATTTTCAACAGCGAAATCACCAGGGAAAAAAAGAGCACAAAATGTGAAAAACATGGCATTAAATAAATCTTGAAAAAGGCAATTTTTTATAGTATGAGAGCTGAAACCAGGCAGTGTTGCCTTGTTCAATCTCAGCTGAGAAAGTGCACATCAAACAACTCAAATTTTTTTGCCACTTCGAATGTCTGGGAATGACTGTGAAAGTGTCACTGGTACTGATATTGGAGTTATAAATAAACAAATTTTAGAAAGTAGGCAAATTCACAAATATAAAATCTACAAATAATGAGGATTGACTGTGTGTGTATATCCATATTAAAAAAATAAATTGATACAACCATTCATTGGAATAATGGCAACTGTAAAAAAGAGTGAGGCTCTCTTTATACATTGATATGAGATCTCCAAGATACCTTAAGTGAAAAAGAGCAAGGCACAGAATAGTGTGTACAGTATATTACCATTTCTGTAAAAAAAAGTGTATGTGTGGAAGAGTCTGAGTGGCTGGCAGAAAGAGAAGGAGGGGAGCCTCTTCACTGCATACTCTTACTCTCTGATTTTTCTACTGTGGTAATAA